ACCTGCAACCCGTGACCCATGGGTGGGGTAGGGGGAGCAGGCATGATCTGTGGTTGGGATGGGAGGCGCAGGCATGACCTACAGATGCATTCAGGAGCAGACACAGACTGAGGGTTGGGGGGGAGGCGTGGCCTGCAGGTGGGGTAAGGAGGGCAGGCACAACCTGTGAGTAGTTTAGGGAAGGCAAACAGGACCCACAGATGGGGTGGGGGGCAGGCATGACCCATGGGTGGTGTAGGGGGTGGAGTAGGGTGGTTCAGGTGCAACCTGCAAGAGGTGAGGGAGCACAACACAACAGTGGGTAGGGGTGGGCTGGCATCCCCCGCAGTGAACTCACACCCCATCCTTTCTACCTCTTCCCCCACTTGGACTTACTTGCTCAGCTCTGGCAGCAGCAAATACTGATAAAAGCAGCTGCACCCAGAGTGGCTTGTGGGATGTGGGTTGACAGTGCTTGCTCATGGGGTTGGAGGAGCAAGGGGCTGGAGGGCAGAGGCAAAGAGAGATGAATGCAGGGGAAGGTGGAGTGAAAAGAGCAGCCCTGGGGCTAAGGCGAGTGGTTAGTTCTTCCCAGCCCTGGAGCTGTATAGGGACAGTGGATAGAAATTCCATGCAATGGTTTGATCTAAATCAAATGAGTCTGATACAACACAGATCCAGGTTTATCTTAAACTAGATTCTGCAATTTTTAGACTGGTTTGTGTGCCTGGAACTTCTGCTTAGTTACAGGTTTAGACTGATTGCTGGTCACTGAGAGCTGGTCTGTAGGTGTAAGGTTAGCACTGGGACAAACTAAGTTTAAATTGGATGGCCATTTTGAACCTGATTTAGCTTCCTGAATGTCTGTAGTTAGCCCCTGCTTCCAAAGGTCTACATGCAGACTGAACCTTTAAACTTTCTCTTAGAAGCATATTTGAACAGGATAACTCACAGCCTTCAAGTACAAGTAGGGAGTTAAGGGATAGTGCAAAATGTATAAGGCATTCAGACAAAATGTATAAGGCATCCAGGATGTTTATTGTTACTGCTTTAAAAATAGTTTAAAATAAGTTGTTTTTGGGTAGCTCCAACATTGACAGCCTCAAAGATTTAAAAACCAGAACTCAGGTGCCAAAATCACAAGACTAGCTTAAAAATCAGATGATTTTTTTTTAAGTATAAGTTTTGCTTTTTTATCCCTTTTTTGGTTTCTGATCCTATAAGGTTTTATTTTCTAGCAACTATGAAGGCTCAAAACTTTAAAAAAAATGAAAGCAAAGATTCTCATGTAATTACATGACTGCCTGAGCTGAGACCTTATGAAAAAATGCCAGCTATTGAAAGACTCATGATAAAATCATGAGAGCTGGCAGCATTGTGGGACTGAAGAGAGGACAATGTTTATAAAAGCCAAAAGTCATTTTGGTTAGTGAAAATGTACTGGATTTCAATCTCTGTTAAAGATATTAGCATAGAAAGATGCATGAACACCCAACTGTGAAGAAATAAATAATACAGTATGAAAAAACTAAAATTACCAGTAAATTTTTCTCTACTTTTTCCTGTACTTGGATCTGAACATCAGGAATACTAGCACGCAGAAGAAGAAAGCCCATCTCTTCAGAAATGTCTTTATAGCTTGTCATAATATTAAAAGCATATGGAGAACAAAGAAATATGCAGTGTTTTGCCTCTTCTAACATATTTATGGAGCTTGCATTTTTAAATATATTTCTGAATTTTGGAAGAAAAACAGCAAGACATACCACTTTCAAGTTAAGCACATATGTTTAAGTTTATTCATGTAAGTAGTCCCATTACTAGACTTGAAAAACACTCCTGGCATTTGGGGATAGAGAGAACAGGAATGCACAACTGTGTGATGAGTGACATCAGGGCTTAGCTAATCAATGGGGCTCTTCACATGAGGAAAGATAAGCATCCACACGTGTTTGCAGGATCAGCACTATTGAATCTATAGTGATGAGCACTATAGAAAACCTTAAAACAGAGGGACAGATGTAGCCCTTTTGATCCCTGCATCACAAAGTCCTCTACAAACAGTGCCTAATTCATCCTCTCATCAGCCATATGTGACAGATATCATAACTGCTTTATTATCCTTATTTTACTAAATGTAAAACAAAAGACAGAGCACCAACTGATAGAGCTGTAGTGCTGTGCACCAGTTGAGGACGTGGTTCAGAGGTTTTCAGGGTATGCCTGCGCTGTGGTGACAGGATGCTCAGTCTTGCTGCTGAAGAACGAAGTTCCACTCCTGTTCTCACTCCCATTCCATATTCATCCACTCTGGAAATGAGGAGGTAAGGACACCCTTGGGGCACCCAAAGCTGTCCCTTCTAAGCCCACCAGAAGCCCAGATCTAGGGAGTGGGACCCTACAGCCTTGTTTCCAGGATGAATGCACATAGGGTCCATCTACTTGAGATGCTTCGTTCATTAGACTAATTTAATATGCAGTAATGCATCACCATCTATACATGCATGGGACTTACTGCATAGTAAATTAGGCTAATGCGCCATTTGCTCATACCAACAAATACAGGTAACAGACTAGTGGCACATTAGCTACTGCACAGGAGCATATGTGTCGATGCTGACTGGGAACAATTTCTTCCAAGTCAGCTTAGGCAGCAGAGGGCCACAGGAGGTGGGGGAAAGCTGTCCACAGCTCTAGTGTGGGGCTCAGGATTGCAGCCTGGCTCAGCAGCACTGGTTTGGGGTGGTGCCTCAGCAGCACCATGAGCTCTCCCCTGGCTTTGTTTGCTGAGGGGATGGAGGAACTCTGTCCCAACAGTGCTGGGTTGGGGACAAAGAGCTTCCCCATCCCCTCAGCCCTACTGCTGCCCATGCAGCACATGCCCCAGTTGGCTCCCACTCCCAGGGAACAGGTGCCTGGAGGAAGCCAGGAGCTGAGCAGCACCATGATTGGGGGGAGGGGAGAGGGAAAGGAGGACATGGGTGGGGGGAGTAAGCAGGGCCAGGGCCAGGGCCGGGGCCAGGGCCAGGGCCAGGGTGAGAGAGCCCTGGTTATCCCCCCATGTCTTCCCCCAGTCCTGGTGCTGCTTACCTCCCTGCAGCTCCCCCCCCCAGGCCCAATGATGCTTACTGCCCCTACATCTCCCCTTGGTCCCAATGCTGCTTACCTCCCCTCCCCACCATGTCTTTGCCCTGTCCCAGAACTGCTCAGCTCCTGCATCCTCCCAGGCACAGGCAGGGAGTTGGAGCTGACTGGGGTGTGAGCTGCACAGGCAGTGGCTGGACTGAGGAGATGGGAAAGATTTCTGTTCCCGGCCTGGAACTGCAGGGACAGAGAGCTCTCCCATCCCAGTGTTGTTCAGCTCCCAGCTCCTTGCAGGGACCTGGGAGCTAAACAGTGCTAGGACCAGGGACAGAGAGCTGCCTCATCCTCTCAGCAAGCAAAGACCCCTCAGGGCGCTGCTTCCACTCAGCCATGGGGCATCACCCAAAGTCGGTGCCACTTAGCCTGGCTGCGATCCCATGTTCCCCACTCCCCAGAGGCCAGGACTGACCTCTGTGCCTCCTGCCAGCTTGGGCCTGGCACAGGGGGTATCTGGAGCTCCTCTTGGCTGCTGCAGTGAGGCAGAGCAGGGAAGATGGGCAGTAGCAGCTCTGGACTCAACTGCTCCTGTTGGAAGCAAATTTGCTCCTGATGTGGGTACACATGTAAAAGCATTCCTGGGTACAGTTTACTGCACCTTATTTTGGTGTGCAGTAACCTTAAGATGCATTAAGTGCATGTGTAGACACACCCATACGGTAGGAATTAGTAGCAAGACTCTGAATCCTGCTTCTGCCTTGCACACAGACCCTAAGTGATTCACCCAGTGACAAAGAGTCAGCCAGTAGTAGAACCAAAAAATGAAGCGTGGGAGTCTTGAGACTCTACCTTTCACTTCAGCCATGGGATATTATTCCCATGCAAATGAAATGCCACTAGATCACAGCAAATTATATTGGAGAGCTCACAGTTCTCTGAGAGTTGTAAGAGGAAATATATTTAACAGGATTTGGAAATGAGAGGCTTAGCCATTCTCCTCTCCCAAGGCAGAAAGAAAAAAAAGAAAGGAAGAGGGAAAAAAATTAAATAGTTCCTACTGTGGCATATGAAAGCTAGAAGAATTTAATTTTCTGGTCTGTTTGTTCTAGCATGCTTCTCTAGGTTTGTCATCAGTTCCACTGCAACACTGGGAATGTAAAAGATATTTTAATTCAAATGACTGTATTTGATTCATTCCAGTCTCCTTATAAAATTGTCTGCTGTAAAATTATGCCTAATGTGAAACAGTTATAATTTGCTTGCTACTCACTACATTAATACCTATTAAAACTGACCACAGTAGCATGCACCCAAGTTGTAACATGAAAAAGCCCACAAGAATTATTTCAATATGGGTGGAGTGAATCAAAACATAAAACATGTTTGAAGTTCAAAGGTCAAATAAAATAGTGTACGGTTTATGGAAAAACATCGGTCAGCTGATAACCAGTGGTACAGCCTGCCATTTTCTAAGCTTCACAATCATAGCTCCATTGTGTGTCAATTGCTAGGGTGTTTCATATATCCGTTCCATCCATGGCAGCATTCTTTTTTCAATCTTGGATTCAACATTTTGATGTCCATAGACCTCTTGAAGCACTTGACAGCTGAATTAATGAGCAAATGCTTTTCTAATAACTATACTGAAGTCAATTTTCAAAGAGCCTGTATGAGCATCAGTTTACCATCACTAGCTGGTCAATTGATTGGTCAAGTATTGTCAACTGACCGGGCAGTTGACTGCATATTTTTGACTGGGAAAAGATTATAGCAATTTTACCAAAAAAAAATATACATTTTGGTAGCTTTCTTGACATAAGTAAGACTTTTTATTGTTTTTTTGACACATTTCATAATGGAAAAGTTGTGCTTTTTCTGTGTATATTTGGACCTATTGACAATTTTTTACAATTATTGACCAATATTTGACTGGTCAATTGACCAAACTTTATTTGACCGGTGAATTACCCAACCCTAATTGCCACTAATCATAGCCTAGAATCTGATCCAGAAGTTAGAGGTTACCCCATAATTGGCAATGAAGCAACGTATCTACCAAAACAAGATTCCATGTGATTCTTTAAATAGTGATAGCCTAGTAGGACTGACCTTAGCGGTAAGATTGTGGAGGGGTAAATATGATTAAGAATACTGCAAGAGTTTTGAAACTCTGGTAACAGCTATTTTAAAAAGCTGTAGATACTTTTTATCAACACACATTTGCCAGGTCAATCATTTAGTCTGATGACAGGAGTAAAACTGAAGATGTTTTCATGCTGCAAAGAGTGAAGAATGGAGGTAGTGCATGGAATGGTGTGGCACAGCACAAAAGCAAACAGCCATTTCTCTTGCAGGAAGCAATTACTATATAATGAAAACAATGACCATGCCCTAGGAAAGCTGGCCAATAGACATTGCGATGGGCTTTTTAGCACACAGATTGTTGAAGATTTGCAAACTCCAAATCTGCCTGAATATAAGATGCAGATTCAACTTCCTTTTACTATTTCCAGCTGTGAGGCAGAACACGTGCAAGAATACCTTCATGTTAAAAGGGCTATGATTCATATGTACTCAGATGGGAAAGCATGCACCAACAATGCATTGCACATGGAGTTAACATTAGATAAGATACTAAGGACATCTCCTCTATGCTGTTTTAAGCTGCACTTCTGCGTAGCTGTCTCTGTCCATTTGCTCCACACATGCCAACTCTCTAAAATGAGGCATTAGAGTGGCCTAGAGCATGCGCTGAGCACCATCCATAGACTCTTTGCTTACATATGCTTACAGACTCAAGGCTGCTCTGAGGCTGCTGCATCACCTTGTTCTGGGACTTGATGCACAAAGAAAAGGGGTGAATGCAGATGCATGCTTTGTGGCAACTTTCTTGGGAGTGGCTCAGAGTTGCTACTGTAAAGTAGGATCTCATTTAAACCTTACTTTAATGACTGCAGAGGTCTGCTGGCCTGATGTTGGCACTGGAAAAAAGAGAATTTCACCTGATAATTTTTAATACATATAAGAGTTGGGTGGGGAAGCACCTAGTGTCCAGGAAGCTGCCATTGCATTCAGAAGGACATTTAGGACTCAGAAAGGACTGGAGTGTTAGGCCTACATCCACAGAGGGACTTCATGCACATAAGTGATGCCTACCTGCTACCCTAGGTCCAATATAAAAAGCATTACTTGTGCAGCCTGTTGGCAGTAAGTTTTGATGATATTTTATCAGTATGGATCTGATTTCAACAGGGATTTCAGACACGTAGGAGATACAGAAATGAGTAGCCCATATGTCTCAAAAGCTACCAGTATCCAGTAATAACCTTCCAAAAAACATGGCAAAAGTCTAAAGTGATGTAAAAAAAATCATTATTGTTATATTTCATTGTACTTGTCTGTAAAGCGGTGTCAGCAGGGATCATAGAATCTAGCCCTCTATTTATAAACACCAGGAACTGATTCTCAAAAGGGCAGAAGCCCAAGACTGCAGGCACTGGTATATCTCATTTGCATGTGTTTGTGCATACAAATCCAGGGGTTCACATGCAGATTGATCTAATTAGTTCTTTGTATGCACAATTACTCCTTGGACTCATGCGATCATGGTAATTTTGCATGGGTTATTGGGTTTCAAGGCAAGATTTGGTACCTGAAATTTTAAAAAGGGTGGATAGCTCTTGTTTTTGGGGAACTTGTGGAGCAAAGATATGTTTCAGAAGAAAGTTGCTGTACATATTCTGGATTTTTCAATTTTCACTGATGAGTGAACTGATACTGTCTAACTTCTTGTCTGCTATCTGGTGTCCTACCTGTTCTTCAGCATCATTTTAGCTGAAACAAATAAGGCACTATATAAATCATTATGATAAAAACAGTGGAAAACAGATATTTCTCAGGAAAATTTTACACTAAATGTACTCTTCCAGCCTTCAAATAACATTCTTGAAACATTTTCATTATACGCTTCATATAGATGCTGTAACTGCCTTGTATAAGAAAAAGTAAAAGAACAGAAAGTCACCTCTAACTAATATGGAAATATTAGGAATTAGGAATTGTTATCCTAGATTAGATCTATGTTTTCCCTGGTCTAGTATTCTATCTCTGAAAGTTGTCAGGGGTAGAGGCTTCCAAGGAAGCTATAAAATCTGAATAATGCACAGTTACACAATAACATGCCCCTGGAGACAGTTTCTGTTTAACCTCAGTGCTTGCCTTATACCCTGAAGCACAAAGGTTAACATAATTTATGTAACTCCTACTTTTTCATCCTAGCTTGTGTAATTGTGGATATTGTAATTCATATAAATAGTTATTTGGGGTTTCTCTGGCTATCTTAAAAGGAATCTCTAAGGTGTTGACTCCTATTCCTTTTTACTAGATTCTCACAGTTGGGGTTATCATGTAGCAGATGAGGAAACAGCCAGTGCCAGGTGCTATGGTTCTGTAATATTTCTTCCTGATATAGGAAACTCCAGAACTGCCAAAAAAACAAAGCTGAGCCAGTGAATGAGCTTTGTTTTCCTTTAAATTGCTAAATAGATTAGGCCAAATTTTACAATTTTTCTTGTAGGATTTATTAAACCTTTGTAAATTTTAATTTTAGCTTAGTCTTGCTGATACTCTGTCTCCTGAGACTGACTTACACACAGAGACATTCACCTGCTGCTTCTCTGGCATAGACCTCCATTTAGTCACTTCTACCTTTTGATTGCTCATTGTTGATTCCACTGTTGTCCTGTCTACCTGCTGCCTTTCTGTTACTCACTAACACCCCCCAACATCATCCTGGTGACCTATGCAGTAACTGACTACAATGGTGTTAACCTTTACTGTTCTCCAGTGTGACTTACCTTGTGTCTGCTATCAATTTAGAAGTTAGGACTTTGTATCAGTTTTAGAAATTGAGAAGGAGAAAATGCTTTGTGACTTCTCTCTTCCAAGATCTACACACTGCAGAAAGCATATGTAGGAGGCTGTTATTCAAGCTCACTCTGTCTGAATCTTGTGTGCTTTCTCATGATACCTATATATTCAGGTGAAGTTTTAGTCATGGAAATACAAATCCTGAATTTCGCTCTTTGACCACATGGTAACAGTTATATTAAAATGCTGATGCATGCAGAATCTAACATATATTGTTTTCACAATTAGGAAATGGCGAATACAAAAGGCTCTCAGTATAAGGCCAATATTAGAATTTAGCTTCCACTTAAAATTGCTGCAAGTTTTATTCTTGTGGGTGCCAGTAAACACCAAACAGTTTATCTGCAACAGCCAATCCAAATATTTCTGTTGATCATAAGTAAAAATAACACACTGTTTATGAAAAAAAAAATCCACATGCCAGCTACCTCAGAAAAAGAGATAGGAAAAGGATGAACAGAATTTAGTTTTCAACTGGAATGTATAATAGATACTTATAAATTATTTTAGGAAATGGAATGTATCTGGAAAAAATAACGTATAGCAAGGACTTGGGCTCTGTTCCATGCATAGTGTACCTTGGATAAGAAGCACTAAAAAAGTCATAAGAGTGGCCAAACACAATTAGTAAATAATAAAAATACTTTACTCCAAGGATCTTTCATTGGCAGATATGTAAACACTTTAATAACACCAATTAACCCTCCCAAGTCATCATAGGAGAGGTAAATATTAACACACCTGTTTAACATTTGGGGTGTTGGAAAAGATTTTTTCTGAGTAAGAGCAGGGCCTTTAACTAAGGCCACAGCCAGCCATTGCAACAGTTTCTAGAAGGCCTTCGCATCCCTGAAGTAATGATGGAGGAAATGAAATACTGCCAACCTCAAACACTAATGAATCCTCAGGCCCTGAAAAATTATGAGATTAAAAAATAATAATAATAAATTTTAGGTTCCTTGAGTTCAGGCTTCTGAGTCTGTAGGGAGCACTTAAATAACATGTTCAGACTTTACTCCACAAACGCAAACCTACTTTAAAAACTGTGGAAGTTTAAATTAATTTATCTCCAGAAACATGGACTTTAAGTAAGACACCAAATACTGTGAGACTTACTCTAAAGTCAGGAGAATTGGCAACAGTGGAGACTGGAAACCTATAGACTCACACGGAGATGATGAGAATGGAAAAAGTGTATAAAACTCATCATGCCTATTAAACTCTTCCTCTTCCACAGATGCATCTCAAGCAGGTCCAAGGAGGTGATCCTCCCCCTCTATGCGGCACTGGTCAGGCTGCAGCTGGAGTACTGCGTCCAGTTCTGGGTGCTGCACTTTAAGAGGGATGTGGACAGCATGGAGAGGGTCCAGAGGAGG